CCTAGTACAAAGTCACGGGTAAAAACTGAACCTGACCTTGTATTGCATCCCGTCTCAGTGGGGAGGCATGAGTAAATACCTAGCCGTTTAGTGTCAGCCTTCAGACTAATACAGGCGTAAGAGCAAGTAGCTGAAACATTACTTACATGAAGTACGTTATATAAGTAAGAGTTTATACATTTTTTTTATAGATACAAATATTCAAGTAAACACTCTGTTTATAATAAACAGTATTAACAACATTTACCAGCCTGAATGTCCGAGAAATTGTTATAGAAAATATTCGTCCTCCGACAGGATTCGAACCTGTATCCTATACGGAACTGTCATATAGCCTGACGTGCTTTTACCGATTTCGCTACAGAGGAGCGTTTCGGTTAGCAAGGTTGATTTTACTGTTTTTAAACTACAATTTTCCATGATATTCTCATGGACATCTATATCTGCTCGATGCGTATCCAAATGTAAACAAATGACGTCACACATTATGAAATGGACAAAGTCCAACAATTATTTTAAGACATTTTTATGTTTATACATTCTTTTTTTATGGATACAAATATTTAAGTAAATGCTCTGTTTATAATAAACAGTATTAAATAACATTTACCGGCCTGAATGTCTGAGAAATTTTCATAGAAAATGTGCGTCCTATATAATTTAGAGTGTGTTATAACAATAGCCATAGAATAGTGACGTTGTAATAAAATGCTTTACTAATTTTACTATAGGAATGCGTTGCAAATGAGGAAATAATGAATTGTCAGTGGTCAGGAATTAATGCAATCATTATTGGCACAATTTATAAGAATCTTAATGATAGCTGATCATATATTTTCCTCTTGCTTTCAGGCTACTGACTGCAGTGATTATTGAGTGACTGCTGAGAGGAACTATCCAGTCGAATTAGTGTGAATTATTGCGCGTCGATGATTTGGGTTTTGATTTAGGATTTACCGGACATTAAGCTGAGCCGTACTACTAACAAGGTATTCACTGAAATGGTTAATTATCTTTGGTTGACTTTTACTTCTTTGTTCGTGTTAAGTATTTATTTATGGTTGTAATTAAATACTGTCTTATCTTAACATTGAAATCTTGAGTTATACTTAATTATTAATGGCCACCGTACACCACAGAGAGAGAGAGAGAGATAGATAGAGAGAGAGTAAAGAAAGAGAAAAGGATTTTAAAGAAAAGCGCAGATGACTTATTTTAATTTGAATTCTTTTCCTTCTTTTCTTCTCTTTATTTGAGGGTTGCCCTCTCGTTAGTCGAGAGAGAAGTATACAGAGAAAAGCTTAGAGAGAAAGAGAAAGAAAGAAAGAAAGAGAGAAAAAGAAATAAATAAAGAGAAAACAAAGAAAGAAAGAAAGAAAAACGAAAGAAAGAAAGAAAGAGATAAGGCTTTTAAAGGAAAGTGTAAATTTCTTATTTTTATTTTAATACTTTTATCTTTGTTCATATATTTTATTTTTTACACATTCAACAACATTTTGCAACACATGTATTTACTTGAATTATTTACTTTCTAGACATTTCAATAAAGGAAATTTTCGTGCCTTGGTTCTTTTAGTATTCTATTCTTCATTCGTGTGTAATCATCTATCAGTTAATTTGGTTTTTACATTGATTGGCAACAACAATCTTAACAACATAAAATATGCAGAGTCTGTCTATATTTCTGAGATGAGGTATTATGTACAGTACTTACATTAGTCGGACTATTGTCCTCATCTTTGTCACCATATTTGTCACAACGTTTCGTCCGTTGTATGATCAGGCCTTCTTCAGGTGGTTGGAAGTATTCTTATGAATTTAAGCGCAGTACTATATTGGCAAAAAGGTCTCATCAGTTCACAGTTGAATTAGCTAGATATAACCGTAAGTTCTATGCTAACAGTTTCTTCTCTTGCACCTCGCTTGTGGAACTCTCTTCCGGCTTCATGCTTTTCAGCCAACTTTGATCTTCAAAAATGTAAATGCAATATCAATCGTTATTGTTGTGGATTCCGTGAATGGAATCCTGCACAAATAAATAAACAACGCCAGTAAATGAGATAGAAAAATAAAAAGATTAAACGTAAAATACAGACTTGAAAAAGATTAGTAGTCCAGGTAAAATTTCGAAATCATTCTCTCTCTCTCTCTCTCTCTCTCTCGACTCGTGTATAACTCCCTGAGAACAATCCTTTCTGTCTCCGTATCTCTCATCCTGTCTCAATGTATCTCCAATCTATCTCGCCATTTAATATCCCACCCACGAAGAATATATATTTTCACAAGGCCTAACCTTAAAATGGGTATCTCTCCAAGCCCATAGAAATCGGCCAAAATATACTCCTTTTTTGTATTCCATTGGTAGACGGGTCCAGGGCCTGTCTACCTCCCGGACAAAATCTTTATTTCATCTTCAAGCCTCGTCCAAATTCCTCTCTGCATACAAAACATTTGATATACCTCTACATTGTCGGACTGTTCTCAACGTTTCTCAACAACA